CGCTCGCCCATCACCCGCACGGCTACCAAGATCGGAGAGAAGGAAAAGCAAATAAGCGCAACAACGATGCTGCAGTCGTCTCGCTTTTACGTTGCTTTTCTTTTTGTTTTCCTTCCGCAAAGCATCTAGCTTTCCAAGTGTGCTAACGGTTTCGGGTATGCTACCGTTTGCTAGTCGTAGAACGACAGCAATGGTTCCGTCGTGTGACGGGCCGTTATTTACTTATTTATTTTTTCTTACCTTTGTGGCGCTTACGAGCGAAAACGTCTGGGTTCACGATGGCGTTTTCGTGCAGAGACGAGAAGGCGCGCGGCACGTTGAGCTCGCGCAATATGTACTTTGCGGGTCGGTGTGATTTGTATCGCGGGGAACGGGTCGTTCTCGATGGCTGAATACTAGGACATGTTTATCTGTCTGGTGGGGTGGTATAAGACATCCTTTTTTCTTTCTTTCTTGCTAGAGCGCCGAATAAATAGGCGCAGATGATCTCAGAGGGACCGTTCACACCAGTCTTCTACACGTTACTCTAAAAAAAATTACTTGATCAGAATTACAATTTCCCTCGATTAAAAAGTATTCGGTTAGATTACTCGATTACTCGAGACGAAAGATAATTGGCTGGTAATTTAAATATTAACAGTTACTTCTCCGATTACATCGCAGTTTTAGAACGACATTTTCCTGCCGGTTTCAAAACGAGTACTTCGTACTGTGTATTATTGGATTCGAGTAACCGAATTATGATCCACACATTTTGCTAAATTATCCTTCTATCCGAGATTTGGTTCGAGCATTCCTAAGTAAGAAACTCGTTCGAACAAAGGGAGAGGGAAAAAATTAAAACGCTTACGAGTAATTTGAGTAATTCCAAAAGTAATCATAATACTGTTGCGATTACTCCCTAATAAGCGTAATTAAATTAGCACAAAATTACTTCAAAAAGTAAATGAGTACCGTACAGGTTCACACGAACGATCTGTTTTTAGGTGCACCACTCGACATGAAATAAAGTTATTTCATAATTGTTTGTATTATCGCTAGTTCTGTCTGTGCGAGCGTGCATGCGCGCGTGTGTGTGCCTGCTTTACATGGAGATGGCCACGACCTCGTCATAGGTTGCTGCCCTTTGGCGGTTGCATGTTTATTCAATTACGCAGTTGGACTAGTTGGTGCATATTTAGGTACACAATATGATAGCCCAAACCGACAAGGACGGAGATAGACCAAACAGGACAAGGCAGACCCCCACATAAGTTCCTTACTGGCCCAAACCACCATTTTGCTGCCGTTTCACCGCGTTTCATTTGAAAATGGCGAGTGCTGCAGAACGCTCGCCCGAGACGCTGCGACTCCTCCGATACCACTCGAGGTCACGATGTGCTTCCTTCTATTACGACGCTAAGCCAAATCAAAAACGATCCGGACGCGGAAAATCTTTTCTTTTTTTCGACCTCGGTTGCAGTATTTTGAAAGTGTAATTGAACCGGTCCATGCAGCATCCGCACGACCTTTGCAGCTTCCGTCCAACCGCAGCGACCATGGCGCTCTCTTCGTCTGCACCTTTGAAAGCCGAGAGCAAGCGGTAAACCTCGAATCAGGGGCGGAAGCAGGAGTTTCCTGAGCGGGGGGTCAGGTGTTGGTCAGCGTACCATATGTTTAGGTACCCCCTCCCCCTCTCCCTCGTCTCACGCCTTAAATTTTACACATGCAGAAATCAAGAGGGAGGTCAGGACATCCGGACCTCCCCCCCCCCCTTTAAATCCGCCCCTGCCTCGGATCGTTGCTGTCTCACCGATTTGGCGTCTATTTGGACCAAATTAAGCTCATGATGGGCGTGATAGGACGGAGGGGAAGAGAGAGGAAACTCTTTGTCCCAAAATAAAGGCAATTGTTCACGCAGGCCAAACAGTTTGCTGCGCAGAAACGCAGTGTTTCATTAAACCGCGCAGTCACATTGACATCATCGTAAAAAAAGGTGTTTGTTGCAGGTATGGTGCCTGGAGCGCGTCTTCGACTGGTGTGTTTAGCGTCCTATCCCGCCCATACATCAAAAGTGGTCCCGATGTGGCAACAAATGACGCGAGTGTCATGCTGTTGCCTGTCGCGATCCTGGCGGTTGGCCGTAGAAATGCTGGCAAAAAGCACGAGCGAACGCGAGTGTCGCTGTCGTCACGGCGTCCCGTTAGGCATCCCAACTTCCGGCTGCACTGGCTTCCGTGAACTGTCACCGTTGAAAGCGACCTGCAGCAGAACAGGCATCTGCTACATACACCATAACTGTTGGGACGCCACCAGGGTCGTGACCGGCGACAGCATGACACTTCTATGACGTCATCAGGCGGAAATCGAGGGACCACTCTTTTGGCCGCGGTAAACACACCAGTCAAAGACGCGATCCAGGCACCATAGTTGCAGGCATGGTGATTATCTGCGCACACGCCTCAAGTATTTCCAGGTTATGTTCGCTTTGTTTCATACACATGTGTGCTCTATACACGTGTGCAGACAGTTTTTTGAGTCACCAATGGACCTTTTCCACATACCGACGGCACCAGGCGGTGGCTGCACGAACTAAAAATCGAGGAAATGACCTACCTGCGCTACCAATCGATACCGGGAGCTACGCTACCAGTTTCTTCGCTCTCCGAGCTGCGGCGCGTGCCCAACGCGAGCTTAAAGATGGGCATCCGTGGCGTCCACCCAATCGTTGTGTTTTTCCTTTCGTCCACTTTCTTTTCTTGTGTAACTTAATTATATATATGCTGCAATTACCTGTTCTACTCGCTTATCCACAGGCTCGTTCCGAATTTCCTCGATTTTTCGTTCCGACTTCCGCCGCTTGGCATCGGGCGCTCGCGCGTGCGCAGAACGCTTCTCGGAAAATGTTCATTGGGCCTTCACGCAGGCAAGACATACGCCCCGGACAATGCATGCACACTGTCTTTTGTATGATGTAGTAGCAGTCCGACCACAGCTATAGAGACTTTTAGTAGAATATTTCCGCCGTCCCGTAACGCTCTCAGCAACACGCCATGAGATATACGGACCTTTTAGACAAGGCTTGCTGCGCGCGGGTGCAGTAGCAGCGTCTACGCTGCGTTAAGCGTTGCGCGACGGCGGTCACAATTTATGGAAACTCCCTAATGAGCCTCACTGATCGATTCACAGCGTCCCTGCCTTTGCCGCGCGTGACATTGTGCCTTCAATATTTAAACGAGTACGAACTCGTATAGTGACGGCACGGTTCGAGCAAGCGGACACGGAGTGACTTGACTGGCGTCACTTTTTCCACCGAAATCCACATGCCGGCCCGAACCAGTAAAGCGGGCGACGTCTCAGTTGAAATAAGACGCAACGGCCCCTGAAGGCTCGTTCACACAGTCGCGTCGAGCTATTGCTATGGCGACCTTTACGACGACCCAATGGGGAGGCGCTGTGCTGCACGAGGCAACGCGGCGCAACGCGGTCGACGCAACTGTGTGAACGAGCCTTGAGAGCTTGGGTCTCATGCCCGCGGGGGGGGGGGGGGGGCATATTACGTTTTTGGAAAGTGCAAGGGTGTACATCGTGCCAGACGGACTCGTGTTTGGGGGTGCATCTATCGACTCTCCGACGTCATTCTATACAGTGGTGGCGCTTCGTGCGCGCAGGCACCTTCACCTTACGCGCAGTGCCCATACTTGGTGTGGGCAGACACGGGCTCGTTTCTAAACACTGTGTCGGTGTATATGTGCGAACACGAGGGTAAAAGCGCGAGTCGCATATATTGTTGATTTAATTACAAGCTCGAACGCTCGAAGTCAACGCTCGAACGTGTTCCGATTTATGTGCGGCGATCTGAAGGCGCATGCATTGGGAACCGTTGGGAATTCGCGGACATCTCGGCTCTTTTCCGGTTCCGTATCGCACCGTCGAATGCAACCGACAACGATCGCCGCGAACAAAAGGATCGGCTTTGCATTCGCTCGCTCAACGCCCCTGCCCGGTCACCTCGATCGCCTCATTGTTTCGCCGCCCCAAGGCAGTCTGCCGACGGCAAAGACGCCGGACGGCGGGGAAATAGAAGTCGGCATCCTCATTGATTGGGATCGAGCCCGCTCCTGCGCGAAAACGCGCCGTCATCCTTTCCGAGATCGTACTCCGAAGATTCTTGAATACGCGTTTTTGTTGCTGTTTTATCGTTTGGTAGTGGAGAACGGGTGGCGAACCTTGTTTACGGCAAAATCCGGGGCATGTCATGCCCTCGCCATTCTTTGCCTCGAAAGATCTCTATTCTGATGTTGATTGCTCCAGTATAATGGAGTATAGCTGGTATATGGTCTGTGACAATCTTCCTATTATTTTAATTAGGTGATTTAGATTCAAGTCATGAGCTGCTAGGAATGAAACTTCGGAGCTGGTGTTCGTGGCTTCACGACGTCAACAAATTCAAGCAGGCTGACAGAGCCCCGAACAAATGGTCGTTAAGCACTGAAAATGCCGTGCCATTGCAGGTTTCAGCCGATGCCAGCTTATGTAATCGTGTATGGGCTTTGTGTTCCAGAATGCAACATTAAAATTTGTATCAGTTTTGGCGCCGCGTTGCGTATACCTAGAGAAACCTCCTGAAGTTTGTAAGAAGTTATTGAGATGTAACTCGTAAACGAACGAGTGCGCCACCTGATGGATTTAGGAGTAAACTTTCGTGACATAAAAGTTGCAAAAAATCCGTTTCTACCCAAAATGTGAAGAAAAAAAAAGTGGTGAGAGATGGTGTTAACGTGTAAACGATAATGGCACCGCCTGCCTATTGATGGAGGCCTGTGGCCCATAGTGGTCCCTTTTGAGTTCAGTTGTCTTGCAACCCTTCGAGCGAAGTGACGGCCCAACCATACTTTCACGAGGAATTCACCGGTTGATTGCTTTCGTGTTCTCATTGGCTGCAGTCCGCCGAGTATTGCATGTCCAGGGCCGATGGTCCGTGTCCTTACTCTACAATAGTCGTGGCGTTCTTCCTCCAGGTCTTGGTGGTGCTCGGGGCGTACATCGACGGCTTCTGGACCCCGTGGCACGACATGGCGGTGGTCTGGCTCCGACTGGCCCAGGGCTTCGTGTTCCCGCTTATCCTCTGCCTTACGGACAGGTACCACTGGACGGCTCTCAAGAAGACGCTTCAACGGCGATCCGCCTCGGCTGACTTCACCGGTACGCTCCTTGTCGAAGGGAAAAAAATTGGCTACATGTTTGATCATTCTGTCAAACGCTCTTAAATGCGGTAGCTTTATAGGGCGTGGGCGGTGCTTTTAGTTCGGATGAGGCCTAGGGCAGGATGACCCTTAGCCTTTCAGTGCCTGGGGTGGGTGGTTCTCTTAGCTGAGGTGGTGCCTAGGGCAGGGTTCTGTATGGGAACAGACTACACTCTAAAAAAAGGGTGTAAAAGGGTGTATGGTTACACCCTTTGTCCCATATAATACACCTCAAAACTTCAATTCGACGTACAGCGCCCTATAGTCGAGCAGACGGCCCAACATTTTACGAGGGGCTTGATAGCCGTGTGGTACAACTTATTAAAATAGCTCTACGTGCTACTGAATCCTTTTATTCTTCACTAAATATCAGTTGCGAGTCAGCGCCTGTCCGTGTCTGTGTCTTCTACTTGTCCTCGTCTTTAGCGCTACTTCTAATTTCGTAATGTATAACCAACTAGCCCGTCACATGATGCTTGGACTGGAGCCGATTATATGCCGCCAATGTTGATCCTATAGCCACGCGCTGGGGTCGGCAAGGCACAGGACACACGCTGAGTTCCAGACATTGCTATGGCTCGGCTATTGTCGCCGTTGCAGCGATTGGACACGGGCCACTACCCGAATGCTTTTCTAGATAGTAATTATCACGAGCCCAAATCGAGTGCCCACGAAATGCTCAGGTCCAATCTGTGAACCGTATTCAAATATCGTCATTAGGGTGTACTGCGACCCCCAGTCACGTCATCAAGTTTTGCAAAGGAGAGATTGACTGAAAACGATCGCTTTTGTCCTCGAAATTACACCGCAAAAAAGGAGTTTCTTGGTCAGTGGCGTTGCGTGCGAGTATCCTTGAGTCCCACTAGTGCCAGTAAGTTTGTGTAAAGTGAAAAAAACATTCCCATTGGATATCGTTGCACTGCCCCTTTAAATCATAATTAAAAATGTACCGCACAAGTAACGGTAACTTTTTAACGGTAACGGTAAAGCATTCCTTTATTTGCATATAACGAAAAACGTATTTCGTTACTTTTTTTTTTTTGCTAACGCCTACACCACTGGGCTTCACTACCAAGCAAGATGGCGGCGCCCAAAAGTAGTACTTGCAAACGTTTATAGTCAAGTAGGTTTGGATGGTATTTGGCCACTATTAATGGCGGTAATTGAGTAAATGCGCAGGACTGCTCTTCGGTGGTAATGGTATACCATCAGCGTGAAACACAAATTCAAGGACACGTGCGTTTTTTCATCGCAGAGTAGCAACCTTGTGTTTCACAGGTGCGCGGGAAGAGTTCACAGCGTGTTCAAATAGCGATGACGAGATAAGGAAATAACGGCCACCTATCCGAATTTCGTCTTGCTCGCTCCTCGAATGCGGTCGACGCTTTTTTTTGTTTATACCTCTGTGAGATCGTAAACCACCAACACACACACAAGCGACGTGCGCAGCAGGTTCGTTTATGAGACTGCTTTTTCAAGGTCTCGTCACTAGTTTATCTTCGTGTTTGCTTATTTTAACAATCGCGCCTGGTATATTGCTTCGTTCCTTTCCTTTTTCTTTTTTTTTTTTATCGCTTTACACGCATAATGTATGCGGCGTTCTCGAGTAATGAATGGATAACCTATTCATTAATCAATAAAATGCCGCAAAAGTGCGATCAATCAATATCTGTATACGTTCTTCATTAATCAATAAAATGCCGCAAAAGTACAATTAATCAATATCTGTATACGTTCTTCATATTTATCAATACAATACCGCAAAAGTGCGATCCATCAATATCTGTATATCCTCTTCATTAATCAATAAAATTCCGCACAAACGCGTTTGTGTACGGAACACGTAACTAAACCGAAACACCTGTCAGCGCGCAATATATAAGATTTTAGGAAGCAAAGGTTATACACACAGACGCAAGAAGTCCAAGTAGGAAACACTCGAATAATGAAAGCTACTTTCGCGGAGATTCTGAAATGCTTACAAAATATTAACTTCCCGTTTTCTTTCTCTCTTTCCGTGCGATTCATTGTGAGCCCTGCACCGAGCTCTACGCATGCTAACAAGCTTCCGCCCAGATTCCTCGTTAAATATGCTGTCATGAGCCTGGAAACCGCAGCAGAAGCGTTCGCAGATGTTGACTGCACTGACCTCCTTAAAGAAAACAAAAAACAATAACAAAGCGAACGCCTGCGCTAACGACTTCCGCGCGCGAGAAGCATCGCCACAATGATCGCTGAGCACACACAGACAGTCATACAGAGGAGGTCTGTGTTCCGGAGCTATTGACTGGATCCGGGCGTCGACGGCTCCCACGGCTCAGATTCGCGCCAATGTTTGTCTTTTACGTATATTCGTCCGTCTTGTCGCGTTGAAATTGCCAACAAGAATGATCTAGTGTCGGAGCACACGTAGCAGAAACCCGCGCTGCCCAGAGATCCTGCAGGCTCGGTTTTCGCCCCGCCAGTGTAGATACGAAGTACAATGTAGCGACACGCGGTCGTGTATAATCACCAGTGCGTGACACACGTTAAGAGCCCGAATTAGCGATCGCATTGCTAGTGCGGAAACGTAAGACGAAATATTAAGACGCACCAACTTCCCGCTGCCTAGACCTCAGTGCAATTGACTCTCAAAATCTTCCTTGTCACGAAGCGTACGAAAATGACCATCGACTTTTTCGGCTTTCGCTCTATTCTAGCACTAACGGGCAGTCCAAGTTGCCGGCCGAGTCGTCAGAGCGTTGTTCCCTTTCGCAAGACTCAAGCACCGCGACGAAGATCTGTCCCGCCACGCTGTCCCTTCCATTCATGCGAGCTCCGCGGACAAAAGGTCCACGGGACAAAAGACCCGACGTGCACACACCTCTCCGTCCGGGAACGACTCGCGTACGCAAATTCGGATGGTAATTAGCGGCCGCGAGACAATGCCCCGCGAGACACTCTCGCCTTCGACCCCCAGCCACCTTGAGACGGACTTTCCAGAGTGCGCTTCCCTTTCCGGCACCGACGTGACTGGCGCTCTCAAGCTGGGAATGTCGCTTGGGCGGGTGCCCCCTCCCTGACGAGAGTCAGGAGGTCCCCTGCTTTCACTCGCTGACGCGCGCCCCCAGAAAACTCTCGCGAGAGGTGCGTACGCTCGGCTCCGTGGCAGGAGGCCCATGCAGCGCAGGTCCAGGATGGTAAAGATTTCACAGAAACGTGTTCGACCTGGCACGAAGAGCCAGATCATATCGTATAGACAATTGACACCGTTGATTGACTCTTGTTCCAAAGAGGGATTCGGTTAGAGAGAGGTATTTGGAGAATGTTGCATCGGAGTATCAAGCGCAGTCACAAGAACGCCTGCAATCAAACGAAGTCACCGAGGCAGACGAAAGTAGCTGTGATATTTGGTTGCTTCACAGGTGCCTTGAGGAGATTTCTAAGATCGCCTCAATATGGCGATAACTCACTCTGCGGGCCCATAAATCATAACGATGCGCGGCCGATTTCCCTATTAAAAGAGAAATCAAAGATCGAACACACCGAGTTCATCTCCGGCAATGGGAGGAGCTTTGTTACGGCAGCCAGGACGACATGTGACCAATGAAAACGCGACATTTCGTCGAGATCGCAGACGCTGGTATTACAAAATGTGTATGCTTTTGCATACACACTGCAATAATCGTCTCAAAAACAACGCACAAAGTTTTTCTTTTGTTTTTGTTTTTTTCGCGAGAGTAATGTGTTCGGTTGTCAGCTCTCGAACGCGCGCTCGCTGGTTGGGCAACGAGCCGCGTGCATTCGACGTATCACTCCGCGGTTCCACCGCTCGGAGGCGCGCGTATTCTTCGTTCACTATTGGCTGACAGCGGTCCTAATTTCGGAACATGCTCCTCCCAACGCCGGAGATGACCTCGGCGGTCGTGATCTTTGATTGCTTTTTTGGATAGGGAAATCGGGCGCGTATCGTCATGAATTGGGGATTTCTAGGATGCTTAGCGGCAACATAGAGAGTGAGGTATCGCCATATTTAGGCGATCTCAGAAACCTTCTTAAGTTTAAAGGCGTGCTCACACTGCTAATAGATCGCAAAAAAAGAAATCCTGCAGACAATGTCTGAAGCGTGCTTCTTCCTTGTATGACAGTCATGTCACATGTTCGAAGCATACATGAAGCAAACATTCTTCGAATATGTGTGAGACTGCAGCGAACACGGTGTATTTTGTGTGATGGGTGTACAGCGTGACAAAGTTGAGAAGAGAAGTCAACATCCCGTGGACTTAATTATTTTCAAAAAAAGAAAAGAAAAAAAAAGAAAACCAGCGCCGTGTTATCACCAATGTTCGATCTTGCTTAGGCGTGTTTTTTTTTTTTTTCGTTTTAAATGCAGTTATTGATTGTAACGCACCTGAAACTAATCGTTTCTGCTTGAAAGCGGATGGTCAAACTCCACGTTGATGAAGATCATCAACAGGCGAGCCGGTGCACGCTGCACACGTTTAGACTTAGAGGTAAGGGCCAGGAGCTCGAATTGGTGCTCTTCGTGGCTTCCTGTCGGCGTCAGGATCTTAGAATTCGTGCTCGTGTGACGCAAATATTAGTCAGCAATTAAAAAATCAACCTCCCTGGGAAGTAAAGAGTGCGCCGATGAGAGGGCCCTATGCCGAACGACCATGGAGTGATGGTGATAATCAGCTAATCTTAACGTGCAGCTATCGCCGTGTACACGCAGACACTTCCTCGACACTCGAGATGCGAGCAGCCTAAACCAATCCCGAGGCTCTATTTTAGTGCATCCGGCAACCGGCTCCTACTCCAACAAAGGGAAGCCGTACTCGTTGTTCGCAGCGCCTGTCAAGATGTATGCGAGCGAGGCCCGCCGTGATGGCCACAGGGAAGCCGTGAAGACTCCGTGGGATCGTGCGGACGCGAGACTGTTTCCCGGAGGAGAAATTGGCAGTTTAGCTGCCTCGCTTCGTGCGGAGCTGGATGCCGGCCTCGCCGCTCTATCGATACCGTGATCGACTTCGAGGCAAATTGCACGACCGTGCATTTTCGTGAGGGCGTTTGTTTTCGTGAGCGCGCCTCGGCGTGACGCTGAAACGGAAGTTTCATTCATGGTGCCTGGTAGATCGTCAGTCCGTAGAACATTGCTTTCCGAGAGCAGCGATTGGTTTTTCGCCTTAATTTTATCGCGCATGTCCGCGCGGTGTTGCGTAATCTACGGCATGGATACAAACCTTGAAATATACCATAATTTGAAAGCGGCAATGATAAAAGCTGAACATATAACGTCCAAGCCGATGAAACCAGGGCAAGACATACCCTCACCATTTGTTTGTTATCATCCGTTACTCTCCTGCTTTTTTTTTTAGAAACTACGTACAAATCGTGTGCAAAAGTACCCTACCTAATAACGTCGAATTCCACAGTTCTTCCTACTTCCTTGCTTCTCAACAAATAAGATTTTAACGGCAGCTTTACGGAAGATTAGAAGTGCATATATAGCGCTGAAATTGGCTAATGGAAATCTGTTTTTTTTTTCTTTCTTTCACAGGGGAAGACAATCGCTACCGGCTATACACTGGCGATTCCAAGAGTTACATCAAGAGCCTTGGTCCGGTGGCGCCCATTGGCATTGTGACCAACTACAAGCGTTCCTCTGCGAGCTACGGCAAGGTCTCCAAGAAGGCCGTCAGGTCGGCCTCCCACTGCAGTGACCGAGCCAGATTACCGGTGACGGCGCCCAAGTTCTTGGTGCCGAGCATCTACAACGTAGACTGCGTTCTGGATAAGTCCGCCTACTTCAGGGCCGCCCAGATGCAGGAGAGTCCGAGACTAATGTCCCAAAACATAGTCACTCCCGAAGACACTGGAAGTTGTTATTCCATCGACTCCACCCTCAAGGTCCACATTCCTGCGGTTGACTACGACTCCGAGAAAGGAAGGCCCGACAACGACGACCGTCAAGAACATGATATCTCGTGGATCAAGGCGGAAGAGGAAGACCACATCTACGCAACCCTCTCGGATACTCTTAGCTTGCGGTCGACCATCGCGGGCGAGAGCTGTGCGACGTTCAGCGCCCCAGAAGAAGAAACCGACTCAGACGACGCCGGCTCGTTTACAACGGACGCCAATGACGACTTTGAGTTCCACGACACGAGGCCCTGTGGTGGCGAAGTGAGGATGCGTCCGTCCACGACAACAGACACGGCGTACGGAACGTTTGCAGCCACGTACGGGCTGCAGCAGAACACCGGCGACCAGTACGGACAACGGCTGCAGAGGCCCCCGGATCCGCCACCGTACCAAGAGTCTTGTACCATGGCCGCCAGGAGCGCGTCTTACTCAATGAACGATCTCGATCTCATCGACAAGCTGGACGCGGACCCCGCCGAGGAAGGGTTTCACACCGCCTGGAAACCGGCCAGAAGCGAATCCCTAATGTCCCTCTACAATCCCCCGGTTGAAGAACTGCCACAGGTCCCGGAGGAGATCCTCGCCAAGGACCCCAGCAACGACCCGTACAGTCTGGGGCAGAAGGTGATGGAGGCCATCATGAAGAACGGTCGATCTTCTTTTGTCATCCGACGAAACTATGTGCGGAAGGCCAAGAAGAGGATAGGGCTCAAGAAACACAAGCTCGTGTTCGACTGCGAAGGAATCGACGACGGTTTTACGGCCGTGCGAAGGTTCTCTTTCCAACAGCATCGGCTCGGAGGCATCAACGCCATTCGGAGGATCGGAAGCCCCACGAGCCAGTGGCACGTTCCCACCGGCCCCGCCGGAAGGCTGACGGTCATTTCCGAATTTATCTAGGTGTACATAACAAACCATTGCTTTCGAGTCGACCGACTCGCCATCTAGAGGTTGCCTTAATAATGTATACACTGTGGACTCGTCCCATGAAGCCAACGGAAGTGTCAAATGGTGCCGTTGTCATCCCTTGAAGCGCGTGTTGTTATTCCAGCCGTTCCGTAATCAAAAATAGCACGTTAAGATATGATACGCGTAGCGACCAGCACTTCTAGCTTCGCCTCGCATGCTCCCATTGCCCGATAGGATATCACATGCCGCAGCAACTGGCATTGCAGTGGCACTAACGTGCTTTCATGATTTATCCCTTCATGGTCAGTAAAGCGTGTTTCGTATACGTGAAGACCCCGTTATGGAGAAATCGGGCTGTTAGATTCGTAGTAAATTAACGCGGTACTGCTGTAGCATCGAGACAGTAAACCAACGATGCGTTGCGACAGCTTACCGAGAACAGCAAGCCGTTCGCACCATACTTCGCAAGTTGCAGTCACACCGCTAATACATCATACAAAAGACCGTCTCTAGACAGGGCCGGCCCCTGGAGTTGAGCGACTCAGGACGCCATCAGTAGAGGGGCGCCGCCGCGCCCCGCTTTTGAAATTATTTTAGCTTTTTTTTTTTATTTATTTGAACACTGCGCCCGACATTGCCGTTCGTTTTTGCAGTGCGGTTCTCCAAAACGCTCGTGTTGGGCCACCACTCACATGTCGTACTATATTAGATAGGGGCGTATAAAAAGGAAGGGGGCATCACGGCCGGGGTTTGCCCAGGGCGCTTGCCCAGGGCGCTTGATGGTGTAAGGTCGGCCCTGTCTGCAGTTACTGTCTGAAGCGCGCTTCTTCCTTGTATGGTAGTCATGTCACATTGGTCATAAAAGAACTGTCTCTAAACATGTTCGAAGTATACGCATGAATGAAGCAAACATGCTTCGAACATGCCTGAGATGTGTGCGCAGACAATCATGTCATCATGTCCGCATGCAAACGCCGTGTATTATGTATGATTAGGGTCCCTCATTTTCGGGTTTTATATTTTTCAAAAATCGGTGGGTAAAAATCGGGCGCTTGGTTCCATGTTGGTAATCGGAGGAAAATCGAATTTTTCGAAGAATCATTTTGCAATTCGGGTTTTTCAGTTTCATTAATAAATAAATATGCACAAATAACAATAAAGAGTACTAATTAGTTTAAGCTGAATATTTTTTTTCGCAACCAAGTCATTAAAAAGCACGAGACAGCATTTTGGCATCATCTGCAGTTCTGCTGGGCTAGTGGCATCAACCTTTGAACGTGTTCGGTTCTTGGAAATATCTGAAATGAGAAAAGATTCTCTGAACAACGCAGCTTTTAGTATAAACTTCTTTTTTCACACTAGTTGAAATGCAAGGGGAAAAGAACAGAGCAAAGGATACGTTGCAACAAACACAGAAACGACATATTGGTGCATGCTCGATCTGTACTGCGGTTCAATGAAGTCAACAGGATATATCATTGTATCCCAGGTCCGGAGCCAGCGTACGTGTTTCTACCAACGTTTAGTTTCATGGAAAATATTTGGGGAACAAAGTAATGTGGCAACTGATGGAATTCACTTTCTAAATTCGGGTAAAAATCAACATTAACCCGATTTTCATAAGATACGTTTGGGGTGTAAACATCGCGAAATGTCGGGTTTTACCCGAAAACGACGGACCCAATGTAAGATGAACGAGCAGTGTATGACTGTGACTTACGGGGTTCACTCTCGCAAAGTCTCGATTCGTTTCCGACAGAATAAAGTTTGGCATCGCATCGAATCTCGGTACACGTCCCGAAGCGAATTGGAAAGTTTCAGCGGGACGCCGCGTCCGTTTTCAGTGCCTTCGGTGTGTTCGATCAGCCCATGACCCGGAAATACCTCACTGTACATATGCTCATCGTGAATGTCCGACGTGGCACTTGGCGTCCGTTGTACGCCATGTCGCCCCGAGCTGACGGCTTTGGAGTAAAGTGCGGCTGCTCTTCTCCACGGCCGGAGGTTGAGTGAACCTTGTGAACGTGCGCATGGTCGATGAACGGCCGACAGCGGGCACGCTTGGGTGCCGGCGTCTGCTTTAGACAATGGCGTGTGTGTGCCCGGTGCTAACGAACTGGATGTCTGCTTTCCCAATGAACCGTGCCGCGACGGAAGTGCCGCCGCCTGTCTGCAAAGTGCCTGCCGCGTGACGACTTACAAGCTTAATATATACCTCCTTATCCGAAGGGCCACGCCCGCATCGCGCACTTCCCGATGGCCGTGCACTTCCTCCTCTTCAAACAAGAAAAAAAAAACAGTATGTGTGTATGAGTGCATGTGTGCGCGTGTGTGTGTAACCCAGCGGTTTGCTCGATAAAATAAAATAAAAATTCATACCATTCTCATTTGACTTTTTGACGTACGTCTGTAGGTTGACGATTCTCGCAATTTCATGAAATCTATGTGTGTTCGGAAAACCTTACAACAATGTATGGCCCCCTCAGTTTTCACAAGCACCCGTCCAAGATTACAAGGTCACTAGATACGCGAAGATTGAATGAAGGTTGATTCACAGAGAATCGTTTAACGTTGCGTGTGCTTACTTTGAAACACGGCGGTGGGGTACCACGTATATACACGAAGCGACGCAATCACGGTAAGATATTTGCCATTGATAACTTGCATTCGTGTCACGACGAAGTCGAAATCTGAGCGTCCTGCTTCAGTCCTCCTGTCAATGTCGCGATCCTGGCGGTTGGTCGTAGAGACGCCGTCGAAAAGCACGAGCGAACGTGACTGTCGCTGTCGTCGCGGCGTCCCAACTTCTGGCTGCCGAAACTTCTGTGGGCTGCTACACTGGAGAGCGACCTGCGGCAGAACAGGCGTCTTCCACATACACAACCGCTGCTGCAACACCACCAGGATCGCGACCGGCGACGCAGTGGCGTAGCCAGAAGATGTCTTCAGGGGGTGTCTTTTTTTTTTTTTTTTTTTTTGCTCAAATTGTCTAAAATGCAAATAAAAAACCAGAAAGAGGAAAAGAAAATGCAGAAACACAGTTTTATCTACTCTTTTTCTTTTTCTTAGAAGACAAAAATTCAACTTTTTCCCATATCTCGTTTTTTTCCATTTTTAAAGAGGGAAACTTTAACGGTGAACAACGAAAGCACGCAATCAGTATAAAATAATGGGCTTTGAACAAAAAAAGTCCAGACAGGCCCACCACATATTTCGGTGCGTACAATTCTCTGCGGAACACTCAGGTATCCAATGACTGAAAAACTACGGAACAGTGCCAGAGAATAGTGATCGTGCTATGGTCATGCTTTGAGGTTTTCGTTTTTTGATGTCGTTTTGCAAGGAAGGGGCAGAAAAAATCACCGCTTTCTATCATTTTATGGGGTCTAAAAATTTAGTGGAAGGTGCCGTCGGTCGATAGAAATAAGCGAGAGGACACTTTCGGGGCTGACTTGGATGTTCCGGTGAATGTTCTGAAGCGCAACCTCTAGCAAGTGCTCCTGGGACGTTGAAGCTCTCAGGTATGGCTTGAGTCTTCGGAGTCTCGAGAACGAACCCTCCGTTTCTGCGCTGCTAACGGACATGGTGGCCAGGATTTGCAGAAAGCGGTTTACATTAGTAAAGAAGGCCTCCATGCAAAGGCAATTTGCCTGTACCGCTGAGACGCGCTAAGCGGTGTGGTCCTTCCACTTCTGTGTTTAAACCAGAACTTCCCCAGGGAGTTTATTTAACAAACCGAATGCTCCGCACAGGCTGGAGATTTGCTCAAAGTCAAGGCTTGTGGCATCAAATCAAATCAATTGAGTTTATTTCCACGTCGTTGGCTACAAAATCGCTCTTGCCTATAGGGAGGGCGATGCTGCCAGACGTGAGTGTGCCGACCCTGTTGGAGACGTTGATGACGCGAAGTTGTAGGTCAATAATTATTCTTGAAAAAAGCGTCAAGTAATAGCTTGGCTATTGAACTCATTACTTTGACGACTCAGGTGCTGAACGAAAGATTATAAATACTACCCACTGCAGCGATTAAAGAAGTCAACAAGGTACGCTTTCAAAGAAAGTGACAATGAGCATTCCAAAGTTGATTCACGGTGCATATGCTGCCACTTTTCTCTCGCTTCGTTTTTTGTTATCTTTTTTACAGGCTTGTACAAGTTACTCAAAAAGAGTAATTAAGTTAAGTTACTGAGTATTGACCTCAAAAGTAATTTGAGTAGAGTAGAAATTACTCAAATCGAAAGTAATTGAGGAAATTACTAATTACCGTAAAAAAGTTGCGAATTACTTTTGAAGTTACTTGGAAGTTACTTTTATTTGTTTTTTTTTTATGCTAAAAAGCAAAAATATATGATTTGATCCGTTAGCGAAATTGGGCTAGCCAAATATGGATCGGGTTGTTTTTTCAAAGAAATGCTTTAATAGCTGGTTCTGCTTCTGCGTGCCTAATTGTTTTGTTGTTCATTGTTTGCTTGATCAGTGATGTGCTACAAATCTGTCATTTCCAGCTTGAGGTTTAGCACTGCATGAGCTTGATTTCTAGACAGTGTTTGCTTGTCTACAGTGTTGTGTAAAGTACATCTAGAAAGTACTTGAAGCGAAGTACAAAGTAAATTAGAGGTTATGTACTTCAAGTGAAGTAGTTAGTACAACGGGTGCAATATTCTTGAAGTAACGTACTATAAATAGAATATATTTCAAGGTAAAGTATCAGTGCTTTTAACAGAATCTTTCATGGTGTCCTTTCATTCCCCAGTGTTTTTTTAACTGGTGCGCATTGTTTCAAAGGTAATCGGAGGTGCATCCGTTTTTTACGGAAATCGCAGCAAATATTGTATAAAGTCAAGTCGCCACAGACTAAGGTTTCTCGAACGATCTTCAAATCTTTGAAGATCTGCATATTGTATGTTTTGGGAGGCAACGCAAAGAGGTCCCCTTTGCGTTGCCCTTTAGCACGCGATTCTTCGAGTACAGCAGAAACTACGGGAGCACCAGATGAGCTTCAGAGCAGGTGTTGCATTGTGTTGCCTGCTTTGAGTGAGGATGCAGTGTGTGCACCTCCTGTAGTGGGCGAGAGTTTCTACGTTGGGGAGAAGCGGGAACCAGCCCCTTCTTCGAATGAGTCAAGTCTCCTTCAGATTCGGGACACAAAGAAACGCCAGTCTTTGGAGCTAATCCCGCAGTTACTCGGACTCTCTTGCGTCGTGCCTGTTCGCTCCCCTTGCTTCGTAGCAGTGTTGTTGCAGAGCGGGGGGGGGGGGGGGGGGGGGGGGGGGGGGGGGGGGGGATTTCGGGGGGTTTTGGACTCTTCAACTCATTTTCTCTCTCTCCCCCCCCCCGTCCTTTTCCTACGCCACGTGCTTCCCCCTCTTTGCAAATATCACCTAATCTCACTTCTTATCTCTTTTGTGCAGGAATGTTTGTTGATAGGCAAAACCACCACTAAAATTCAAAAGTAATTTGTAATTTGAGTAGAAGTTACTGAGAAAAAGTAATTAAAGTAAACTACTAATTACCAAAATAAAAATGTAATTGAAAGTTACTAAACTACTCATAAAAGCAGTTAAACTACAGTAACTTGAGTAGAGTAGTTGAACTACGTACAAGTCTGCTTTTTTATGAGGGAGGATTTTTTTTTTCTTTTACATTTTGGTTGGTGTTCGCTGAAAATAATAAAAAGTGCAGGCTAGTAAACTCTAAGTACGGGGAAGACGGGACGAAAACAAGAAAGAAAAAACGCTAAACTGTTTGTCATTCCGTCGTCCTGTTTTCATTGTAGGGTTTGCTGCCCTGAAATTGTCGTCGAGTCCTTGAGACTCAAAGGGTAGGGGAACTTTAGACAAGCCGCCTGCATTCTCCGAGGCGACGCCAGCGTCCTTCGAGGTCAGGATTTCGCGGCTTTTGTGACGTCGGGATTCGAGCCATTCGCACCTGTGAGCATGAAGAAAGGCTTCGGTTACTAACACGGCCGAGTTCGGCGAGAGCTCTTTGGAAAGCCGGAGCCGGACTTTTGTTATCCAAGCAATCCACGGACAGTGTCATAGCCTCCTCTATGACAGTGTCGTTATCTTTGTTTTGCTTTGGAATGTTGTGGGCCTGGCCCGTCGCCGTAGTGGGTTGTCAAACAGAAAGAGAAACACATATAATTTGTATTGCCTTGACAAAACAACGAAACACACGCGCACATAAACACACACACACAGAAGCTGACACCAGAAATTGGAAGGGGGGGAAAGAGAGAAACGTTGAAATCGAAATTTCGGGAGGTGTTCAACACTTAATCCCCTCCCCCCCACCCCCATCCCCCCTGGCTGTGCCACTGGGCGACAGCATGGCACTTCCACGACGTTAGGCGGAAATTGAGGGACCACTTCTGGTTGAAGACATCGCTCGTCTTACGAACACGAATTGGTAAAAGCTTGAAAAACGCGCAAATACGCAAGCGCGCACGTTAAAAGCTTGAAAACGCGGATGAAAAACGCAAACGTCAAGCACTTCGTGTTTGACGTTTGCGTTTTTCGTGCGCTGTACGACGTGCGTGCGCGTGTTTCGTCTGCTTCGCACAAGCGACAAACCGAAGGGAAAAGAAAACAAAAAAAATAAAAGCTCGAGGTACACCTAAGAACTTCTTATGAGTTGCGAGCCCAAAAGCATGCACGTCATTCAGAGCGCGCCCTCTCCTCGCCGCGCTGACCTTGGACGCTCCTTGTTAACGGTGCGCTGATGGACACGCAGCGCCATGGGGTGAGCGGTCGTGGAAACTGACGCGCTGCGGCCAATGGGAGCCTCGTCGACGCGCGCCAGCCAATGGGATCGAAGCCGAGATCCATCAGCTTTACTCCACTCCTTTGGGATTGGGGAAACTAGGTGCCGTTGTCTACGCTTTTCGCGTGGCTTCATAGCTGGGAGCTGGCTTCACTTGGAGAAAGGATTTAAAGTGCCGTGTGGCGCCCTTCAAACTGATGACGTCGGCTCGCTCTATGGGACAGTTAACGGGGTACTCCGCCGATTTTTGAGCTACCTCAACTAACTATATTTTCTGACTCCCCGGCCTTTACCCTTTCTGGTATGCTATTTAGTATTGTGAAATTCATAACAGTTATTGCGATATCGGCAAATGAAAATCATGGAAAAACAAAACATTCAAATATACCCGCCCTTTTCAGGGCCGTGACGTCATTGGAAGGTCAGCTTGCCAGTCGGGCGAGCAGTCTAAAAAATAGAATATGTCAATCATTTGTTCCGTGATGGAGCGCGGGGACTGGAGCGAGCTTCCAAAGCATTCATTTGACACCATGAAACTGCTTCAAATCAGTTGGGAACAAATTCTACAGTCCAAAGAGTGAACCCCTGCACTTCCAATGACGTCACTTTTTCATTGTTGCC